ATAATCTTAACCTAACAAACTTAGTCTAACCGTATACGAGAGATAAGGTAGAATAACAAAGAGATATATATCCTAATTAAAGATATTGACAGCTAGAATATTGTTACAACAAACTACGAGATAATAGTAAGACTAAGTCTTGGCTTTATCTTCAACATAAACAACTCCAAACCGTATCGATTGTCTTCATCCACAATCTTCAAAAACGTACTTCACTAACTTCCTAAATTCGATCAAACAGGGTTTTGGCGGAAATGAAAAAGGGCTGCATCTTTGTCCCATCGTTCCATGAATTATGGGCCTTGTCCAATCTAGCCCATAGAAAGTTTGCTCGACAAATAACGGTATCATTTAAGATTTTTAGGTCTCATCACTAGTTTATTAAATTTCGTTTAATTTAATTGACTATTATTAATAATTTAATAAATATCACTGATTTCATCCGTAATTTAATATATTATTTAAAATTTAATAAATTATTATTTAAAATTTAATTGATTATTATTAAAAGAGTAACTTATAATAGAACTGTGTTTAGAGTTTAGTGTTTACAATTTTCTCACGTGAAAAAACGATTTTTCGCTCCACACATTTGCCACTTTGACACTAGTATCTCCCACTTGTTGCCAGTTGCCGTTACGTGGCATCAACACAGTCACGGAGTCAAAACATTTCGAAGCTAGAAACGTGACGCGTGTAATACTCAAGACTCCCAACGGTCCAGATCCAATCCCAGACCAAGCGGCGCTCTCGTAGTATATAAGCGGTCTCAAGGCACTGCAATTACACGTACAGCATCGTCAGCTTGTTGAAATTGAATCGCGATCCTGTACTTTACAATGTCAAAATCTAAGGTGTTCTTCGACATTGCGATCGGTGGGTCCCCCGCGGGACGGATCGTGATGGAGCTCTACGCCGACGTGACGCCGCGAACGGCGGAGAACTTCCGAGCCCTTTGCACCGGAGAGAAGGGAACCGGACGGAGCGGGAAGCCGCTGCACTACAAGGGCTCGACTTTCCACCGAATCATCCCCGGGTTCATGTGCCAAGGCGGAGATTTCACGGCCGGGAACGGCACCGGCGGCGAGTCGATCTACGGCTCAAAGTTCCCGGACGAGAACTTCATAAAGAAGCACACTGGGCCGGGGGTTCTGTCCATGGCCAACGCTGGGCCCGGGACCAATGGGTCCCAGTTCTTCATATGTACGGGCGAGACGCCGTGGCTGGACGGCAAGCACGTGGTGTTCGGCAAAGTTGTGGAGGGGATGGATGTGGTGAGGGCCATGGAAAAGGTTGGATCTTCCACTGGGAGGACATCTAGAACCGTTGAGATCTCTAACTCTGGTCAAATTTCTTGAAGAATCATGTATAGTATCAGTAGTACTTCCTAAGCTCTGCTGTATATGATCAACAACTAGTCGACCGTCCCAAGTGTACTTAATTGGGTCGATCTATTTATGCTTGTGTCAAATCGTCAATGTTTTATATTTTGCTTTTTTTTTTAATAATTATTTTATTTCGGTTATGTGGATAAAAAACCGGTACTATATATATGGCGGTATAGTTGAAGTGTATTTATAGTTTTGAATTTCGAGCGGTAATTGCGTCTCATAAAAAAATGCCAAAAAGAAGGCCGCAATTGAGTCGGGAATTGACTATGAGAAAATTAAAAACACGAGAAGAACACATAAATGCACTGCAACATTGACTATGATTTTTGCGCATCCATCATTAATGAAATCCTACTGCGTGGGCATTAGCACGGTGATAATATAGATGGGAACAAAAGTGGTTCTTCTAAGAAAGACGAAGGAATTATAAAAAGTTTTTCGGGAAGAAGAAGAAGACTTTAACTCTTACATAAACCGTTTATGTAAGGGTAAAAGTCTCTAAACGGCACATAGTCCACGTCTGCACGTATCTATTCAGTTCAGTATGTTATAACTGATCAATATATATAACTGAATTCCATCCTTACATAAATGGCACGCAGATTACACGTATTTATTCAGTTCAATATACACAACTTAATGACTAATTTACCACAACAAGATATATATATATATATATATATCAGGTCAGTTTGAAACATTTTAAAACGTTTTGGACTTGTCAAAAACAAACATTTTATTAACATTTTTGAGTTTTATCCTAAATCTTTTTTCTTTGGCTTTGGAACATGCAAAACCATTTTGTTTCTCTAACTTTTTTCTTCTGAAACGAAACACCTTCTTTCATCAAGTCTAATATTATTTCTTTACATTCTCGCCTGTATTTATGACCAACAACGTGTGTTTTCAAGTCACCCGCCGTTCTTTCTTTTTATTCACTCTATTATATTTTTTCTTAAAAAAATACTTAACTACCACCCACCGTCTAATAAAATAACTGTGGGTCTCACACTGCGGGACCTATCATCTATTAAATAATAGTGCTATAATATGGATATTTTTCTTCTTGTCTCCGCGCATCTTTTGCTTTTTTGAAAGTAAGACTTAGAGGACGTTTGGTTGGAGGATTCAAACCATGTGATTCGAATCATTTTTTATTTACGTGTATTTTTTGTGAGAGAAAAAACTGTAGCGAATCACGAATCATGATTCGAATCAGGGAACGAATCCCTCTACCAAACATCCTCTTAATTATACATTTACATGGTGATATAGTTTGATTAGTATTCTAGTCAACTAAATATTAACAATCCTTACACAAACTAAATATATATTACCAAGTGTTGGATAGATTTTTTTGGAGCTAATAAAATGTAATAAGTTTTTGGGCGACTCGAGTGTATGCTAGGGAAACTACTCGAGCGTACATTAGGGAAACCACCTAAGTGTATGTTAGGCTAACTACCCGAGCGTACGCTCGGATAGGGAAGAAGTTGGAAGATCAAGAGTTATCAAGCATCAATGTCAAGTAATAGTCGACGATTAAAAGCGTTTAATGACTTAAGTTTAATTCGTTTATTAATTGTTTATAACACCCAAAAAAAGTGAAGAGACTTTTTGTATTGAAGAGAGAATAAACTCTCGAATTAATAGGAGGAATTAAACCTCTAATTCCTAATGTATTATAAATTCCTTCAGTTTGAGAGAAAAAGATACGCACTCATTTCTGAATACAATTATCTTGTAATTGTCTTCACTTTGTTCTTGTTACTTTTTCTGAGATTTTTTGTGTTCTTCGAGTGTTCTTCTAATTTTTTTAGATAATTTACTTATTCAATCTGAAGTATTAGTCTAAAAACGTTGAATAAGTATTGGATGAAATTTTACTCCAACACCAAATGCAATCTCACATCTGTCAGATTTTTTTTATTTAATAAACGAATTAGTGGTTTTAATATTATTTTTTACTTTAAATCGCTAAAAAAAAAGATAAAACAATAAAAACTTCAAATAGATACTTGTATACTTCCTGTGGTTAGAATCTGAACTATCCGATGATAGTTTATATTGGAGAATTGAGATTCTAATTCTTAAACAGCGTTTTAACAAAAGTCAAACAGCCGAAGTCAACAAAGAACCATCCTAGAAGTTAGGATCTGAAAAGAATATCTGCAGTGGATAAAAAAAAAAAAAAGGATAATAATGAAAATTTACCAAACAAAATCACTTTAATATTAAGCGAATCAAAAGGGCATACCTAGTTACCATGGCCATCATACTTTGCGTTGACGGTAAAAATTTGTCAACATGAATCTAATAAATTTTAAAATGGTTTGTTCAAATTTAATAATATAAAATTTGATTAAAAACAATCAAATAATAAAAATACACGAGAATTATAGTAATTTAGTTGATTCAAAGTTACGTTCACGGTAAAGAAGAGAAAATTTACTATTTTTTAAGAAATTATACACACTAATGCTCAGAATGAGACTCTGGGATTTCTCAACGTACAATTCCTTATTTAAATCTATTGAACATCGTCCATTTTCTTATTTAATTTAGAGATATTTTTCTTATCCTTTAGGATAGTTTTCCAAAAGATGGAGATTACAATCAACCATGACGATTTTATTGCTTAAATTTTGTATACTTGAATTGTGAATAGTAAATCTCGGAGTAAATCTCGCATATCTCTCGACTTGCGTAGACTCGACTTTATAAGCGCTTCTAGAATCATCTTTGCTTACAATGGTTAGTGCAATCGACCTCATGTCATCCTTTGTATCTCCTTAGAGCGATCGACCTCCTATGTATGTCACACTTTTTACTAGTGGTCTGTTCTTAAGAGAGTTACTATCTGATGTAGCGGCTAAGACTGAGTTATCATCGATCACTTAATGCCTTTATTTATAACGCGTGAACTCCATTCAATACATGATTTATGATTCAGAATTTTATATTATTCTTATTGCATCGTCAGATTTGATGATAAACCTCATCGAATTTGTTTATCTGACCCTTTCAATTCAAACCGCCTAGCAAATCAGCACCACCCGGTTTGGGTTTTGAAGGTAATTCTTTCACGAGTTGACCATTACGCCCTTATATGTATCTAACTCCTTGGCAATTACGCCCCTTTAGCGAGATAGCACATTCAAAGGAAATTTCTCGACCTACTAAGCTGATGAAGACATGTAAATAGTCAACATTTACGACTTGTCACTACCAAAATTGGGCATATTCTTTCTATAATTTTCAAGAGAAAATATATCCTTTCTATAATATATATATATATATACGTGACGCCGCGAACGGCGGAGAACTTCCGAGCCCTTTGCACCGGAGAGAAGGGAACCGGACGGAGCGGGAAGCCGCTGCACTACAAGGGCTCGACTTTCCACCGAATCATCCCCGGGTTCATGTGCCAAGGCGGAGATTTCACGGCCGGGAACGGCACCGGCGGCGAGTCGATCTACGGCTCAAAGTTCCCGGACGAGAACTTCATAAAGAAGCACACTGGGCCGGGGGTTCTGTCCATGGCCAACGCTGGGCCCGGGACCAATGGGTCCCAGTTCTTCATATGTACGGGCGAGACGCCGTGGCTGGACGGCAAGCACGTGGTGTTCGGCAAAGTTGTGGAGGGGATGGATGTGGTGAGGGCCATGGAAAAGGTTGGATCTTCCACTGGGAGGACATCTAGAACCGTTGAGATCTCTAACTCTGGTCAAATTTCTTGAAGAATCATGTATAGTATCAGTAGTACTTCCTAAGCTCTGCTGTATATGATCAACAACTAGTCGACCGTCCCAAGTGTACTTAATTGGGTCGATCTATTTATGCTTGTGTCAAATCGTCAATGTTTTATATTTTGCTTTTTTTTTTAATAATTATTTTATTTCGGTTATGTGGATAAAAAACCGGTACTATATATATGGCGGTATAGTTGAAGTGTATTTATAGTTTTGAATTTCGAGCGGTAATTGCGTCTCATAAAAAAATGCCAAAAAGAAGGCCGCAATTGAGTCGGGAATTGACTATGAGAAAATTAAAAACACGAGAAGAACACATAAATGCACTGCAACATTGACTATGATTTTTGCGCATCCATCATTAATGAAATCCTACTGCGTGGGCATTAGCACGGTGATAATATAGATGGGAACAAAAGTGGTTCTTCTAAGAAAGACGAAGGAATTATAAAAAGTTTTTCGGGAAGAAGAAGAAGACTTTAACTCTTACATAAACCGTTTATGTAAGGGTAAAAGTCTCTAAACGGCACATAGTCCACGTCTGCACGTATCTATTCAGTTCAGTATGTTATAACTGATCAATATATATAACTGAATTCCATCCTTACATAAATGGCACGCAGATTACACGTATTTATTCAGTTCAATATACACAACTTAATGACTAATTTACCACAACAAGATATATATATATATATATATATCAGGTCAGTTTGAAACATTTTAAAACGTTTTGGACTTGTCAAAAACAAACATTTTAGACGTCGAAAATTGAAGCAATATTTAGTATTGAATCCATTAACATTTTTGAGTTTTATCCTAAATCTTTTTTCTTTGGCTTTGGAACATGCAAAACCATTTTGTTTCTCTAACTTTTTTCTTCTGAAACGAAACACCTTCTTTCATCAAGTCTAATATTATTTCTTTACATTCTCGCCTGTATTTATGACCAACAACGTGTGTTTTCAAGTCACCCGCCGTTCTTTCTTTTTATTCACTCTATTATATTTTTTCTTAAAAAAATACTTAACTACCACCCACCGTCTAATAAAATAACTGTGGGTCTCACACTGCGGGACCTATCATCTATTAAATAATAGTGCTATAATATGGATATTTTTCTTCTTGTCTCCACGCATCTTTTGCTTTTTTGAAAGTAAGACTTAGAGGACGTTTGGTTGGAGGATTCAAACCATGTGATTCGAATCATTTTTGATTTACGTGTATTTTTTGCGAGAGAAAAAACTGTAGCGAATCACGAATCATGATTCGAATCAGGGAACGAATCCCTCTACCAAACATCCTCTTAATTATACATTTACATGGTGATATAGTTTGATTAGTATTCTAGTCAACTAAATATTAACAATCCTTACACAAACTAAATATATATTACCAAGTGTTGGATAGATTTTTTTGGAGCTAATAAAATGTAATAAGTTTTTGGGCGACTCGAGTGTATGCTAGGGAAACTACTCGAGCGTACATTAGGGAAACCACCTAAGTGTATGTTAGGCTAACTACCCGAGCGTACGCTCGGATAGGGAAGAAGTTGGAAGATCAAGAGTTATCAAGCATCAATGTCAAGTAATAGTCGACGATTAAAAGCGTTTAATGACTTAAGTTTAATTCGTTTATTAATTGTTTATAACACCCAAAAAAAGTGAAGAGACTTTTTGTATTGAAGAGAGAATAAACTCTCGAATTAATAGGAGGAATTAAACCTCTAATTCCTAATGTATTATAAATTCCTTCAGTTTGAGAGAAAAAGATACGCACTCATTTCTGAATACAATTATCTTGTAATTGTCTTCACTTTGTTCTTGTTACTTTTTCTGAGATTTTTTGTGTTCTTCGAGTGTTCTTCTAATTTTTTTAGATAATTTACTTATTCAATCTGAAGTATTAGTCTAAAAACGTTGAATAAGTATTGGATGAAATTTTACTCCAACACCAAATGCAATCTCACATCTGTCAGATTTTTTTTATTTAATAAACGAATTAGTGGTTTTAATATTATTTTTTACTTTAAATCGCTAAAAAAAAAGATAAAACAATAAAAACTTCAAATAGATACTTGTATACTTCCTGTGGTTAGAATCTGAACTATCCGATGATAGTTTATATTGGAGAATTGAGATTCTAATTCTTAAACAGCGTTTTAACAAAAGTCAAACAGCCGAAGTCAACAAAGAACCATCCTAGAAGTTAGGATCTGAAAAGAATATCTGCAGTGGATAAAAAAAAAAAAAAAGATAATAATGAAAATTTACCAAACAAAATCACTTTAATATTAAGCGAATCAAAAGGGCATACCTAGTTACCATGGCCATCATACTTTGCGTTGACGGTAAAAATTTGTCAACATGAATCTAATAAATTTTAAAATGGTTTGTTCAAATTTAATAATATAAAATTTGATTAAAAACAATCAAATAATAAAAATACACGAGAATTATAGTAATTTAGTTGATTCAAAGTTACGTTCACGGTAAAGAAGAGAAAATTTACTATTTTTTAAGAAATTATACACACTAATGCTCAGAATGAGACTCTGGGATTTCTCAACGTACAATTCCTTATTTAAATCTATTGAACATCGTCCATTTTCTTATTTAATTTAGAGATATTTTTCTTATCCTTTAGGATAGTTTTCCAAAAGATGGAGATTACAATCAACCATGACGATTTTATTGCTTAAATTTTGTATACTTGAATTGTGAATAGTAAATCTCGGAGTAAATCTCGCATATCTCTCGACTTGCGTAGACTCGACTTTATAAGCGCTTCTAGAATCATCTTTGCTTACAATGGTTAGTGCAATCGACCTCATGTCATCCTTTGTATCTCCTTAGAGCGATCGACCTCCTATGTATGTCACACTTTTTACTAGTGGTCTGTTCTTAAGAGAGTTACTATCTGATGTAGCGGCTAAGACTGAGTTATCATCGATCACTTAATGCCTTTATTTATAACGCGTGAACTCCATTCAATACATGATTTATGATTCAGAATTTTATATTATTCTTATTGCATCGTCAGATTTGATGATAAACCTCATCGAATTTGTTTATCTGACCCTTTCAATTCAAACCGCCTAGCAATATATATATATATATACACACACACACACACACTCTTATTTACTGCACATTCAAAGTTTAGAGCAAATTATGTAGTTGTTGTACATTTATTGCTGAATGTTGACTTTAAAAATTGAGTAATGTTAGGAGCACCAATTCAAATATTAATTAATATAGTATGTAAATCTTTATTTTTTTTATTGGTAGATATAACTTCTTATTATTAATAGACGTAATAATATTTTAAACACCAACCAATATAAAACAACAACTCACATGACACGTCAATTGATATATAAGAGTTGAGATTTGAGTTGGTATCTATAACATTATTTTTAAAAAGTCCAAGCAAAAGGAAAAAGAAAAAAAAAATGAGACTATTTGATCTAACAACACCGGGGTTTACTATTTGCTGGAAATTGTAGCTTCATTATGTCATGTATAAAAATTTGAAAAAAAAAAAAAACCGTAATTGAAATGATATGCGTAATAACTAACTCCAAACGAAGCTCTTTATTCTTCTATATTGTTAAGTAATGATATTGTGATAATAGAGTAGGCAAAATGTATATTCAATTGGCAAAGCACAAAAACAACTACTATAAGACAAAAGTCTATGCCGGTCGAGCATAGCGAATATCAAATTACTAGAATATTATACTTTTTTTTTCCTCTGACTCAATCAACCGTAGATAAAACAAATTGAAGAGAGCTGAAAATTTCAGGTTATCTAGAGGGCCATGTTGTTGGTGTGATAGAGACTAGTATACAATCATTTGATTTGGAAAATCAACATTTTGAACGTTCTGAATTCCTAATATAAATTAGACAAATGTCCATTATTTTATCTGATTTTTTTTTACGATATCTAGAAAAGTAAACGCAAGAGAGTTTTTCCAAGCCTTAGTTTAATGAAACCTATTATCTTGGTTACATTATTTAGCTCAAGGCTAATGCTTTTTTCAGGTCGTTATCATGTGATATACTAATTTTTGGAGAAAAAAATCATCAACAAACGATAAATAAAAGAGTAATGTTAGAGACAACAACTCAAATTTAAATTTTTGTGTATTAATTTATGCGTTATGTGATTGTCATATTTTTATTGATAGATGTAATATTTTATTATTAAGTGACATAAAAATATTTTAAATGTCTATTAATATAAAAATGACCCCTGACATGTCACATCAATTGACATGCAAAAATTGAGATTTGAGTTTGTGTACTTAAAATTAATTCTAAATAAAAGAACAAAAGGATTTGAATTCAAGTAACGGCCATGTACAGTTCAACATATTGTGGAGATTACAACAAATGAGACATGGATTTGGCAAGCAAAGCAACTGAGAAAATAGAGAATTATTATTATTACACAAGTAATTAATTTGAAAATTTTCATGTAAGCAGATGTTTTCATCCTTTCAAGTCTATGCCAACCAGGTGAATTTGGTTATTGCAATTTGCGTATCTCGTACGCAAATTAAACCGGGAGGGGTAAAATGGTAAATGGGTACGTGGAAGACTGGACGATGACGTCAAGTCCATACAAAGAAACAGAGAGAGAGAGAGAGGGGGGGCGGGATTTTCATATTCCTTCGCTCTCTCTCTCTCTCTCTCGCGTTCATACAAAGAAGAGTCAGAAGGAGGCGATCCTCTCTCTCTTTCTCATTCTCTCATTCAATGCAATTTTCTCAGGTCAAATTCCCATGCCCACTAGATTTCCGTCGTCGTAATAACGCGTTCTTTTTAATCCTCTCCCAACCTACCAAATCATATATATCAATATCCCTTGTTTTTAGTTCATTTTGCATTCATTATTATTATTTCACCCCAACTAACTAAAATTCTGTTCTCTCTCTCAATCTATAGTTCTCAACATTCTCTTCCACACTGTAACCAATCTCGCTCTCCTCTCTCTCTCTCTTTTTCTCTTCACAAAAAATTCTATAATTTTCCTTTGATACTCTCGGCAAACAGGCAAAGAAGTGAGTTCCTTTTCCGTACGATTGTTGTTGTTGTTAAGTTCTTTTTCCGTACGGTTGTTGTTGTTGTTTTTATTTTTATTTTTATCTGGGGTTGATTTCTGAGGAAGTTGGGTTTTTTCGAGCAAAATTGAGAGAAACAGATTCGCTCAGTTATTTTATTTTATATTTTCATTTTTCTACGTTCTTCTTCAGGTTTAAATCAGAGAATTTTACAAAAAAAAAAAAAAAAAAAAAAAAATGGGAGCTGTTTGCTCAGCAGGGACTACGAAGCGAAGTGTAAAAGACGAAGGAAATAATTTGAGATTTTCCGGAAAGCTGAAAACAAAAAGGAGCTTTGGTAAGACGAAAGAGAAGTCGTATCAGTACTCTAATGGGTATAATTCCGGGAAAACGCAGAACACATACGATGTAGACGAGCGACAATTGTCGTTTTCCAGCGAATTGAAGCCGTCAACGCCGGCTAGGACGGGAGCTACCAAGGTATGTTGCCAATTAGGTTTTTAAAATGTCGTTTCTGATTTTGTGGGCGGAATTAGTCCAACTTTATTCTGGAACAAGCGGAAGCGACACAAACATTAATGTAAATTTATGTTGTATAATTTTGTAGAACAATTGCACAATTTAATGAAGGGGCATCGACTAAAAGTTATTTAAATTCAATCCAGTTTATTGCTAGCTTAATTTGAAAAGCATTAACTTGCTATCCAGTGGGGAAATTTGGAAATATTTTTCTATGAATGCACATTTACCAGATTTTTTATACTTTTTTAGATATTTATGTTGTTGTAGTATCATATAGAATTGGGGTGAAGTTATATTTTAAGCTGACGTTAGAATACAATTTGTTGAATTTATCTTTGAGAATTTCCATCTGAGGTTTAATTAATGAAAATAGCATTGAAGGAAACTTGAATCAGTAAACAAAGATTTTCTTTTAGTTCACTATGGTTTTGATGTATCAATGCTTATTATTATGTGTACTGGTTAAATGTTGCATTTCTTTTTTAGGCTCCACATAAGAGCTCAGCCCTCGGAAGGGCCGGCATTGTTGGTCTGGAGAGGGCAGTAGAAGTTTTAGATACACTTGGAAGTAGCATGTCAAATTTGCATGCCAATGGTGGGTTTGTCTCTGGCGTTGCTTCCAGAGGGAATAAGATTTCTATTTTGGCATTCGAAGTAGCTAATACGATTGCCAAGGCTTCGAACTTGTTGGAATCTCTTTCGAAAGAAAATGTCCAGTTCCTAAAGAAAGATGTTTTACATTCTCAAGGAGTTCAACTATTAGTCTCCACAGACATGGTGGAGTTGCTAAGTATTGCTGCTGCTGATAAAAGGTAGTTGATAGTTATTTCATATTTGGTAAGAGGAGGTGCTAAGTATTACTTTTGTGATGAGTTCTGTCCTCTCTTTTATGGCTGGGAAATTCAATTTACAAGTATCAACTTCTATTTTATATCTTCCTGAATGAATTTTTTCCTTCGGAATGCAAAGGGAGGAGCTTGATGTTTTCTCGCGAGAAGTAATTAGATTTGGAGATCTATGTAAGGATCCACAGTGGCACAACCTTGGTCGTTTCTTTTCTGGGTAAATTCCTTACTGAGATGGCTATGGGATGATAATTGTTTTGTGCTATCAGACAATGCAATAATACTTGAAATGGTGCAAATTTCAGATTAGATTCAGATGATTCTATTCATAGACAACAAAGAGAAGAGGCAGAAATGAAAATGCATGAATTGACTGTTCTCGCTCAACACACTTCTGTAAGTGACGTTTTCATATTGATTAAAGCTCATTACACATGTACTCCAGCTACTTGGTAATATTTGAACTCTCCAAAAGCACAACTGTTCTATTTTAAAACTAAAGTGGCCACACTTGTATGCTACCTGCTCCTCCCATTGCAACTCTTAATAGATCTTTCTTTAATTATTATGACATCTAATTTGAAGAACCTAACTCCCTTTAAATGTGCAGGAACTATACCACGAGTTAAATGCTTTGGACAGATTCGAACAAGATTACAGGCAAAAGGTCGAGGAAGTGGAAGCCTTAAATCTCCCTAGAAGAGGTTGGCCATAGTAAATATATTCTTAAGCGTTTCTCATGTTATGAGTAACTTTTAACTGTATAGTTGGTGCCAACTTAAGCAAGATTTTTACATTTCTAAATTTTAGAAAAAAATGATTGCATGACATGCTTCCCTAATTTCACGGGAGATGATAATATGTCTATATCTACAGTAAATGTGTGCATCAAATAGTTAGCAAAGAACCTTTCTGATCTTATAGGTATTCTTTGTTTTTTCTTTTTTTTTTTTTTAACACCTGGTTTGCATTACTTCACCTGTCCTTGGTCTTCTATATACAACAGTTTGTAATTAATTTGCTACCGCTCTTTGTTTTCCACTTTAATTTTACAGAATATTGTTTGTAGATGAACCCGTGAAAATTGTTTCTAGATGCTCAATTCGGATTGAATGGTGTCAAATATCTGCTAGGGGCTCCTTTGAACTAGAATGCACTATAACTTTATTAACAGTGATTTTTCATTGTAATTGTAGGAGAGAGTCTCAAGATGTTACACAGTGAGTTAAAACAACAAAGAAAGCTTGTAAGGAGCTTGAAAAAGAAATCTCTTTGGTCTAGAAATTTGGAGGAGGTATTCTGTTTTAACCACTTGTTACAATTACTAGAGGATTGCACTCTGTTATCTGGAATTATTTTGGGAGTAAAGTAAATCATTTGCTTTTCTTTTTTTTTTTTATTATTATTTTCTTTCTTTCTAATCTGGAAGATCTTGATAGCTGCTATTGGTTACATTTGCATTCTAAATTTCAAACTGTCGACATAGCCTTTCTGTTGAGAATAACATTTCTGGAGATGTAGATGATATTCAACAATGACGCGTGTTGTCCTTATAAAAGAACTTTGATATATCAGTTTAGCTATCCACAGGAAAACTTGTCCTCGAAAATTCTGTAATTCAGAATAATCTAATTACTTATAATCGAGATAATTTTCCTCTTTGCAGATTGTGGAGAAGCTTGTTGATATTGTTACTTATGCACATCAAGCGATCTCAAAAGCATTTGGAAAAAATGGTATGAAATATTTCTTGATTTGATCATTAGTGATTCCACAAGTTCAGTCATCGTATGGTACATATGTATGAGTCTGTGACTATATGCTAGTTGCACTTGCAATTTTCTTCCCTTGATCATGTTTCAAGGGTGTCAATTAGCGACTTTAAACGTGTTTATTGTCCAGTTCATGACAAGTGAAGGAATCTTAAGAGGAATTTCAATTATCATTGCTGTTAGGGGACATATCTACCATCATTTAGTGATACACAAATTTGTCATAACATTTGCTTATATCTATGATCTTGTCTGAATATCATTCCAGCATATGGCTGTATGTAACGAGGGCTAAATGTTCATGGCTTTAGTAAAATTTGTTTTAGATAATACCCTTCATTCTTAAAGGACTTGTCTATTCATGACAGTTGCAAAGTTTGGAACAGAGCAAAGGAAAGATTCTCAAAGGCTGGGTGTTGCCGGTCTTGCATTACATTATGCCAATGTCATCAATCAGATAGATAACATTGTAATCTCAATTCTTATCTTATTCTGTAATGGGCATGTTTCATTTAGTTGCCACACATTTGCTAAATTCTATTGTACTATTGTAGTCCACTCACACATTTAAGTTTTCCCTGATTAGGCATCTCGGCCAAGCTGCCTGCCTCCAAATATGAGGGACACATTATATCATGGGTTGCCAAACAGTGTCAAGACAGCTTTACGGTCTCGGTTGCAGACTCTTAATGCAAAAGAACAGGTATGTTATCTGGAGAATGGTCAAGAGATGCATTTCTATATCAATATCCGCACGTCATCATTTCTTGAAATTTTCATCAGCATATTTTTAATCTGCTTCATAGAGTTTGAGATGTAACGTACGTAACTACTGTTCTAATTTGCCTTTTTTCTTTTCAATTATTGTTCTCATGTGATCGCTTCACGTTTTGTCTTCCACAGCTCTCTGTGTCACAGATCAAGGCTGAAATGGAAAAGACTCTACAGTGGCTTGTTCCAGTTGCTACCAATACCAACAAGTAGGTTAAGTGGAAGTTTTAAAACCTGCTTTAATATGTTTTCCCGTGCTCACAATCTTAAGTTTTTGGTGCAACTTTCTTAATATTTTTATGCTATATGGTGGCAGAGCACATCAAGGTTTTGGATGGGTCGGAGAATGGGCAAATTCTGGGTCAGTAGCCAATACCCTCCCTCTGCTGTGTGTGCGTACAAAAGTGAAAGAAAACACCTTATTCAATAGTTCTATGCATAATTTTGACTTCGTTCTTCTCCTTCATTTGTCAGTCCCGAGTTTGGCAAGAGCACAAGCACGCAAAACAACCTGGTTCGCCTTCAGACACTATATCATGCAGATAAGCAGAAGACAGATGTATACATACTAGAATTGGTAACATGGCTTCACCACCTAATTTGCTTGGCAAGACATAAAGATAATGGATTGAAACCTTTGCCTACTCGGTCTCCAACGCGAAAGGGACTAAATTTGCACAGCAAAATGCAACGTTTTCTATCCATGGACCTTAGCACTAAACCTCACAAGGTTCAACTTTCACAAGAGGATAGATATTTGTTAGAAGAGGTAATTGGAAGGAGGAAGGGAGTCCTAGGAGTAAGCAAAAGTCAAGAATTTGTTATTTCTAAGAGCAGAGAAACCAGATTTTGGACGCGGAGCAGGAGTACTGGGAGTTCACCTGATAGGGAAGTGCCTGCTAGACGATGCTCTGAGCGCTCCAGGACTGACGTTTTAGATGTTATGGATGGGTTGGATTTAACAATTTGCAATTGAGAGCTTTTGCTGTTCCCATTTTTCAATATTCTTTCGTCATCTGGTCTATTTACTCCTCATGTACATATTTCCGGGACAGTTCTTATTTTGTTGTATATAACCCTTATACACAGTTTATACGAAGTGAATTGTTTCGTGCTTATGCGGGTTTTTAGATTATATAGGCTGCGTCTGTTCTGTTGAGATTTTTATGAAGTAATTGTTTACCATTAATATTTTGAGAAAATTAGATGTTTTTCTTGATAGGAAGGAAACATAAAATTTTCTCAAAATACTTTTATCTATATAGAAAATTATACTGTGATTTGTTTATGTTATTTAAGTAATTGTCTCTTTATATACAATAGTTAAATAATGTGTTATGTGCGGTGTTCAGTATATTATATTTTTTGAACATACAAATTTAAAATTTGTTTTTAAGTTTAATTTTTTTTATCTATTATTTTCTTTAGAGTTTAGCTCAATAAAAACAAAATTTCAATAGATCACATTTAAAAGAGTTTTTATTGGGGGCAATAAAAGAAATAAAGCAAGAAGCAAAAAAACAAAAAAACAAAATGACAAGCAATAAAAGCTGAAAAAAATGAATGGGAACGAAACTTGAAAGACAATTTGATTAAGTAAATATTTAAAGGATGTAAAAGAATATTTAAGAAAGATGTATTTTAAAAAAAAAGATTATTACTTAATAGAGAATAATTAAATTAGAAGAAAAATTTTCTTTTATGATGTACATTTCAAAATGAAGATGTAAGAATGTACAAGGGAAAATTAAGAATATGTAAGTAAGGAAATATTTGTAAAAAATTTATTTTAACAAAGACAAACTAAGAAAGAAAAATAATCTAATGAAGTGGATTTGAAAATATATAATAATAAAGTAGAAGAAAAGCAATATAAATTAATAAAAAGTGAAAAATATAATTAAAAAAGATGAAAGGTAAAAAGAAAAATTAGCAAAAAATATAAAAACAAAAGAAAAAGGCGATTAATAAATGGCCCGAGAGCTAAATAATTGAAAATGTTGTGAAGAAAAGCTATTTAAAAGACACGTGCTTGAGAAAAATTGTTGAATACTTTTGATATAAGAAGCATTACCGAAAAAAATTAAGCAGGGACACATTCGTAAAAATTTATTTAATAGGTTTAAGAGAGGAAAAATCTATTTTAAAAAAGCACATTAAAAATGAATTAAAATGTACATGAGTCTCTGGCAAAAAAAAAAAAAGTAAAAAAAAATATACATTTAAAAAAATTATTTTAACAGAAACAAAGTGATAAAAGGAGTATTTTAAAATAAAGTGCATAGAAGCTTTAACTTAGTAGCATATCAATATCTAAATATTCTATTATAGCAGTCATCAAAGATTCAGTCCCATTTATTCTGCACCTAGGATCTAAAATAATTACTAATGCATATAACATATGACAACCTGACCAATAACTTTTAAATTTAGTTTCCATTAGCTTAACTATGTTTTCAAAAAGTTCAGTATCCCTATAATAAGAAAATGTTTCTGAAATATTAAATAGTTGATGTAAAGGTAAATGTACAGTAGGATAATAAACTCCGGAAAGTAATTCAGTAGCATTGTAGAAAACTTCTAAAAATTTAAAAAAATACTCACCAATCTGCCACTCTGTATCGAAAATTAAAAGTTGATCGTTCTTACTATTTACATACGTTGTGATGAGTTGTTGATATAGGAGTGCAGCATTCAACATTAAATATGTGGAATTCCATCTATGTCTCACGTCAGTTAGGAACCTTCTTGGGTGCATCTGACTGTTCCTGCAATATTGTTTGAATTCTTGGAGCCGAGCTTCAGAACTAGATATGAAGAATAAAGATTCTCTAATATTTGTTAGATTAGCTGAAATATGTTCAATTCCTGCTTGAACTACTAAATTGATTATGTGACACGGACACCGTTGATGAAAAAAATTCCTCCCTAAACGCTCGTTTCAAACTACGTTTAAACATATTAATTGCATCCGTGTTAGCTGATGTGTTATCAAAAGTAATAGTTAAAACTTTATCTTCTATCCCATATTAATATATAGTTTTATTACACCCCGCCCATAGATCAGAAGTACAAGATACAATAGCATTAAAAGACCTAAAATTATGAACTAGAGATTGTCTCATTACATAAAACAATTTCGTGCAATCAGAACGAGTTGTGTTTCTACTTACCCGTTTAAATTGTGGGCAGAAGGCCGTCTGTATGAATTCTTCGAACGACTCATCATCTGCAAAAGAAAGAGGTAATTCGGCACTCGCTAGAAATTTAGCTAGTGCCTCACGAGCATATTGTGCATCGTATGTAGTGTTGGAACTTTGGGCCGGCGGGCAGGCCTGAGGCCTAAATTTTTCAGGCTCGACAGGTAGGCCCAATTGCCGGGCCGTCCAAAGTTGTAAATTCAGGCTCGGGTAGCCCGAAAATGGACACCATGCTAGAGCCCGCCGCTGTGTAGGTGCCGTCAACTGCCGTCTGTCGGAGTTTTTTTTGAATATTTCCGGCCAAGCCTGATTTGCCCGAGAAACGGTCAAAATTTTGACCGTTGGTGCCCGACCCGAAAATAAGTCCAAAAACCCGATTTTGCCCGAATGCCCGAACTGGCCGAATGCCCAAAAACCTGATTTTGCCCGAATGCCTGACATGCCCGAAAACCCGTCCAACGGCTAGTTTTTTGATTGTTGCCGCCCGAACTCGACCCGCCGAAGCCCTAAAGTAGCTGTTGCACCCGATTTTTTATGAAAAAAAATCAATTTTTTAACCAAAAAATTTCCCTATAAATACCCCCCATCCCCCACACATTTTCTCACTCAAACTCTCTCAATTTCTCTCAATCCTTCTCAATTTCTCTCAATCTCTCTCAATCTCTCAAATCTCTCTCACAATTTTTCCAAAAACTATCACATTATCCTAAAGCTCTCTCGCTCAAATCGCTCTTATATTTTTATAATGGATCATTTTGGTTATAATGGTATTCCCATTGATGCCCAACACAACGTGAAAGAAGGGCAATTTCCCACTAATAAATTTGTTACGCAGGAATCTACTAATCCGAGCCCTGGTGGATGTACTGGAGGTCGTGGTCGCAATGGTGGTGGGCGTGGAGAAGCGGCGAGTGCCAGTGCGACTGCGTCTGCAAGTGTTGCAACCTCTAGGAGGAAATGGAAGCGCACCTCGACAGTTTTGGATCACTTCGACACAATTAAGGAGATCGACAATGAAGGTAACACTAAACATATAGCTTAGTGTAAATATTATTTATCTAAATTACAAGGTGACACTATTCATGGCACCACACACTTGAGAAGACACTCCAAAAAGTGTTTTCAAAAGCTTAGGCAATTCGGCGGATCCGAACTCCGCCAAACACAATTATCTTTTGATCGCGCAACCGGTGGTCTAACCACTTAGAAATACGATCCGCAAGTAGATCGTATGGAAGTTGCACGAATGATAGCTGCTTTAGATCAACCACTTAGTTTTGTTGAGCATCCTAATTGGCAACGATATATTAAGGTTGTACATAATCCTAATACATAGTTCACTTCAAAAACTACTCTTAGAAAATATTTATTAAAATTATTTAAAAAAGAAAAGAAGCATTAATAAACCTTTTACACTTGACTAGCGGGTGCATTGCGTTAACGGCAGATATTTAGTCTGCTGTTGCCAATAAAGATTATTTAGCTGTAACCGGACATTACTTTAAAGGATTTGATTTAGATAAGAGAATATTAGGTTTTAAATGTGTTCTAAGATCACATAGCGTGAATTTAATATATAATACCATTTTAAATGTAATTGATGAATTTAGATCAAGAGATAAAGTAATGGCTATAACATTAGATAATGCTAGTGTCAATACAAAGTAATTGAGTTCTTTGAAAATGATTTAAGTTTATTTGGTGACGATACTATTTTCCACCAATGTTGTGCATGTCACGTAATTAATTTAATTGTTAACTCTGGTTTAAAAGAAATGGGTAATCACATTAAAAAAATTAAAGATTGTCTTGCATGGATTCAAGGTAGTAACCAAAGACAAGAAGATTGGTTTAGGTTCTTTCAAGCATTAAATATACCTCCTAGAGCATTAGCGTTAGATATGCCTATAAGATAGAACTCAATTTATATAATGCTTCAACAATGCATCTCCTATAAGGATGCTATAACAAACTATATATGTGCAAAAGTAGGAGTAGGACATATAGACGCATATGATTGGTAAATTGCCGAAGTTTTGTATCAATGTTTAGGTAGGTCTCATGAAGTTACTCTAAAACTTAGTGGAACATATTACCCAACATCACCTTTAGCTTTAGGTGAACTTTTACGAATTAGTATTTTATTTAGCGAATATAGGGAGGACCCCATCTTAGGAGTTCCTATCCATTTTATGCAAAAAAAAAAAATCTATAAAATATTGGTCTAAGTTGCCTTTGTTGTATGATTTAGGTACTATTTTTGATCATAGATTAAAATTAGAAGGTTTAGAAAGTGATTTAGAAAACTTAGGTGAATTTTTAGGTATCAATTGTTCGGACTAATATCCAATAATAAAGGAAAAAATATATTCCATCTATAGTAAATATGAGATTAGGTTTAGAAGCACAAACTCTAGAGTACAAGAACCGCAACAACAAGATGAAAACCCACATTCATTCTTGAATGTTTTCGGATTGAAGAAGAAGAAGAAGACAACTCAAACAGAAGCTGGGAGTGGATCTTCATCAACAAGTGGCAGTGGCAGCGGTGGCAGCAGCTTCAACGTGCTTATGGCGTACCTTAGTGAAGGCTTAGTAGTCGACGGTACGGCAGAATCGTTTAACTTAGTTCAATAGTGGAGGGCACGAGCATTAACTTGGCCAATCCTAACTCAATTGGCAATGGATATATTTTTGATCTCAGTCTCCACTATTTCATCTGAACAAGCCTTCAATATGATAGGAAGAATACTTGCGGAACGTCAGAATGCATTGTAAAGGGACATTGTTGAAGCCTTGGTCTGCATTAAGGATTGGGATCGGGCCGATTAACGTCTACAGGATACAATTTCGCCAGTAAGCCAAGAATGGATCGATGAATTTAATCGATTAACATTTAAATTTGAAGACGATCCTTCAGCTTCAAATTAAATTGTAAATTTGTAATTTGTAAATATGTATTTACTTTTGACATTGTAATTGTATAACTTTGTAAGTTTGTAAAATTTGTAATTCGTCACAAAATGATTGTACTCTTTTTTCCTTGTCAAGTTTTTATCCCAATTAGGTTTTTTTTTTGTAAGGGTTTTAACGAGATAATCATGAATTACGAATTTAAAAATTAATATGATTAATTTATTAAATTGTGTTAATAATATTTGTTGAATGTTGATTTTAATTTTTATATAATTTTAACACAAAATAACTTAATAATTATAAAAATTTAAAAATATAAAAAAATAAGGCCTATTCAGGCGGGCTCGGGCAGCCAAATATAAGCCCGCGGCCCGTTCAAGGGCATTTTCAGGCTCGGGCGGGCGGCCTGAATTTTTCGGGTAGGTCGGGTCGGGCTTCGGGCAAAAAATCAGTATTTTCGGGCGGTCGTGGGCGGCCCGTCCAAAGTTTCAGCACTAATCATATGTAAACTTTTGCAACCCTTGTGATGTGAGTGATAATGTTTGTTGAGGGGAGTCTACACTCCCACCTTGGTGCAATGGTAGACATGTTTTCTAATGTCTATCCAGATAACCAGTAACCCCACCATTTTTATTAGAAAAGTGTTTTTTACAATGTTTACATGCTGCATGAATTTCCATTTCACCTGTTTTTGGATTTGATCGGGGCGCCTCTGAGAAATGCTGCCATGCAGGAGAAGTTCGCGGTCTTTTTCCCCTACTGCGTTCTCCAACTTCCTCGTTGTGCACTGAAGCATTATCAATCGGTGCATTTTCCGGTTCAATGGGGATGGGGTTAGAAGGCATCATTTCATTCTCAAAAAATGGCTAATCACCAAGCTCAGGGAGAGCAGTGAAATCAGAGAAGTTTGATGCGGCCATTTTTTAAAAATTGATTGAACTTAAACTTTGTAAATGAAAGAGCAAGAAAATGAGTGATCGCGAGAGAAAAGCTTAGAATCAAAATTAAAGAGACAAGATGAGAGATAGAATGAGAGTGTGATGTGAAGTTGAGAGTGAATTGTTGTGCGGGATTTAGGGTGAGATTAAGGGATATTTATAAGGGATTTTGGGGGCTTTTTTCATATTGTGACCATTGGGCCCTTCGCGGGCCCAACAGTCACAATCCTCATAGCCTGGAGGGGCTTTTTGACGGGCCATTTGCGAGCCTGGGCCGGGTCGAACAAGGGCCGAATTCAGCTTGGGCTGAACTGGGCTTGGGTCGGGTCGCAGGCCTTCACGGGCTTGGGCCGAGGGATGAGAAGCCACGGCCCAACCCTAGCCCATCAAACGTGCCGGGCGGGCACGGCCCGTAATAGTACCGTATCGGGCCGTGCCAAATCTGACACTATTACGGGCGGGGCCGGGCCGGCCATGGACGGCCCAACCCATTTAACAACTCTAGCTTTAAGCGAAGAAAAAAGAAAATAAAAAGAAGAAAACCTAGAAAAAAGTAAAAAAGAAAATGATCAAAAAGGTAGAAAAGTAAAAAATAAAAAGAAAGAAAAGCAAAAAGATTGACACATGATCAAATGAGATAATAGATGATAAAGTACTTTAAAAATGCATATACAAAAAAGATTAATTTCAAAAATTTCCCTCGAATTATGACCCTAAGAGCAAAAAGATTGACACATGATCAAATAAGATAATAGATGAAAAAAGTACTTTAAAAATGCATATCATTACAAAAAAAAAGATTAATTTCAAAAATTCCCCTCGAACTATGACCATTGTAACACTTTGCCCCTCGAATTTTAAAAAGTAACATCTGTTTCTCCCGAACTTTGTTCCGTTAAAAAGTTTTATCATTTTGTTATAATGATTGACGAAAATCACCACGTGTCATTTTAGGAGAGTATTATCGTAAGGAGGACATATGAGAGCAATTTGAGTAAACATTTCTCATACTTTTCTACAATTTTTTCCTTTTCTTTGTAAGGCCTAACAAGCACCCGAGAATCACAAACAAAATGTGGGTTTCCTTTAGCCAAGATGAGCTTCACAGTCTCTGGATACACAAAAGTAACAGACCCAAACATCCACTTTTGTTGATATAAGATTCTCACATCTTGAATAGGTCCATAGATGTTAATCCAGAATTAACATCCTTGGACAACCCGAAATACGCGTTTGCCGGAGAGAATATTTCTTCGACGAGATTTTCACTTGTAGAATTGTATAAAGAATACCCATAACTGTTGCTGATGTTGTTGTTCATAACACTGGCGTAAGAATTCGGAGGACTTGGAAATGGGTTGGGCCTGGAAATGGGGTTGAAAGGAGAAGAAGAAAATGATGATGATAATGATGATTTAGGGAGAATAGCCAAGTGGATTTTTCCTGTTTGATCTTATATTGAAATTGAAACTAAAGAAGTGAAGAACACAGAACAAAAGGGAAAATTGGGGATGTACGTGAATGAGCTCACACCAGCGGGAGCGGGAGACGGAGGGATTCACACCATCGTGAAGTAGGAGATCAACGTCTTGCTATCGGAGGAGGCTGGGTAACACCACCGTCGGTAGGGAGGAGGAATGGGTTTCCTTCCATTGAGGGATTCACACTGCCATCAAAGCGGGGGCAGGATCATGCATCGTCGACGTATGGGATTTAGATCCGATGCCAGTGCCAAAGGTTTCCGTCATCATAATCGTGGTCTAACTTAAGAAACGAGATACAACATTTTTTTTGGAGAGCAAATGTACATATGAGATGAGAGAGTGAGAAGAAAAAGAAAGAGAGAGAAAACATTTAAGTTTTTTTCATTATCTTTTCTTTTGGTAATATTATCTTTTTATCTTTTGGTAATATTATCTATTTAAAATTATTTGATTAGGAAAGTATAAATATAATTACACTTTCAATTCTCACTAAATAAATAACTAAATAAATAACACGTGATAATTTTAACACTTATTATAATAGAAAGATAAAATTAAGATAAAATTTGTTAACGAAATAAAATTCAAAAAAACAAAACACAAAATTTAAAGAATTTTTGAAATTAATCCAAATTAAAAAAAAAAAACGTACAAGAGCTGGATGAAAAAAGTACTTAAAAAATGCATACCATTAAAAAAAATAAAAGGCGTATGAAAAGGAAAGGGGATGGAGTAATGAAGGATATACATATTAAAACTAGTATTTAAAGGGGTTTTGGGATCAGATCGGTTAAGATGTGAGTGTCCGTGTGTCGTAACCAGGCAAGAGCGGACACCCATCTCGCATTGTTAAAGCGAGTCCAACCCACTCATCACATCCCGTTAACTGCCTGAAGGATCATGAGTTTCGTAGTCATCTTTCTGCGTTTTTATATTCCCAACTTTGACTATAGCTCTTTGTACTCTTTCGATGTGGGACTAATGACTAAGCGTTTTCCCCTAGCACTGGTGCTAGTAGAACCTTGTTTATTCTTTACAAGTACGAGACCTTAGTACAAAGATGACAACACACCCAACTGGGTTGTTAGTACTAGGTAGAACGAGTTTCTGTGACATTACATTTTATTTTTGCATTTTAACAGTTGATTAAAATAATAAACCGATAAAATCATATTAACCATTCTTGTTGGAATTAGAAGATCCAACGGTCTTTAAACACTATAAGATAGGTTTCCTCCATCAGTCTACGTAAAAAATATCGATTACATTTCTTAAGTTTAGACCAAAACACTTGTTTTTGTTGAAGTTTTCTCTCATTTTACTTTTTTTTAATAAAAAAATCTTACATTATTAAATGTGCTTATTGAATTACCTTTATATTTGCCTATATTAATTTTTTATAATATGTTTCTACAAACCACAAATCTGTTTTTTATTTTCTTTTTATATTCTTTTCCATAATTGTTTTTTTAAACCATTTCATCCTTTTTTTTTGTTGCTAAATACCATTTTATGCTCCTTAAAACCCTTACATATCATGACATTAACATTGTATTTGTAAATATACAGCTTATTAATAGAGAGGTCAAAAGTTTATATTTTAAAAAGGCTAGGTAATTTTTAAAACTTAATTTTATAGGGTGAAAATAAGTCAAGTGCCATATTTTAAAATAATTCATTGTTATAAAAAAAATAAATCTATTTTAGTTTGAGAATGTTTTACATTATTATAAACTTATACAAGTATATGATAAAAGAAAGAATAAGCAGACTAGTGTCAATTGACCTGTTATTTTATTCTAAATTTTCATATTTTTTCGCCTCTTTCATATTTTATGTGACGTCCGCTTCTTTCTCTCTTTTTTATTTTTATTTTTGTATTTTTGTATTGATTTCTGGTTATCTACGCTTTGTAATTTCATTCTATAAACCAATAATTGTTTCATGTAATGGCTATTTTAACAATTACATTGACAAAAATTTCAGTCACTTTGTTTAGTAAATACTAAAAAAGAAATTGAATTGTTTTTTATTATATCGTCTAATAGATTAGACTCCATTTGATAACATTTTTGTTTTTCATTTTCTAAACAAAAAATAAAAATATTTTTCTTGTTTTTGTTTTCATTTAATAAAACAAAAAACATGTTTGCTAACTACTATTTGTTTTATGTTTTAAAAAAAAAACAAAAAACAAAAAACAAAAAACACATTTGGTAACAATAATTTTCTTACATATTTTTTTTAAAGAAAAACAAATTATCACTTGAACTCAATGTTGGGAACGAAACAATGAGAAGGATTAACGTCCAGATTAGATCGACGTGTCATGATCGGTGTCAAGATCAGTCTGATGTGTCAGGCTTGATGCCGAGATCGGACCGACTTGTCGGACCCGGTGATAAGACCAGACCAACGTATCAGGCTTGATGTCGATATTGGACCGACAAGCTGGAGTCCAAATAATTGCACCATTAGTATTACTAAGGATTATCATTATTGCTAAGATTAAAACTGATGTCGGTCAATTAGCTTCTTGGGCTCATGCATCATAATTGGGCCGAATAATATGTTGGGCACATCAATTTGAAGTGGATCATCTTGATCTTGGGCTATGGTAGCTTTGTTGAGCTCATTCTGAACCAAGGTCTGAGAGAACCCGCTTTCGTCAAAGCGCCGAAGATGGCCGATTTCAGACCTGGGCGATGACGGGGATAACGCCGGCAGTAGCAACGGTTGCAGGTGTTTCGAGCTTGGAGGTCGCGTGGGAGGAAACGAACAGTCATCGTTACCCTGCAAGTCGCCACGTCGTACCGAGCGATGCCACTACGATGGACCTTCCTTCCTTCTCGGTTATTGCCTTCGTCGAGCCCGCGACGGTGCTGACCGACTTCAAATCCAGTCGACGACATAAGTTTGACGTATGTTTTAAATGAATTCTGATTAACTTTTTGAAGACATCAAAATTCTGTTTTCGAAATTTAATTAAATTCGGCAAAACAATTTTAAAAAATAACAAACAAAACCAACTTCGTCGAACGTGTTTTTAAGGGCCCGTTCACTTCGCTGATTCGAGTTTAAAATTCGAGTTGAGATGTGATTTTATGTGAGAGCTTTTTACTGTAGCAAAAAGTTAGATGTTTTTCTAGTTTTTTATTTAAAAAAATAAAAAATCGTTTAAGGTCCTATTCATTTCACCGATTCGAGTTTTGTTACAGTAAAAAACTCTCAAAAATAGTTACATCTAATTTTTTTACTACAGTATAAAACTCTCATATAAAATTACATCTCAATTCAAATTAAAAACTCGAATTATCAAACTAAACATGCCATAAATAACTGAACATGCCCTTAATAATTGAATTGTTTCTTATTATATCGTCTAATAGATTTCATAAGCCCTTAGACCTCATCCTCACCAAACGATAGGTGAGTACTTGCTCTCATTTTAGTTGTTGTCAAAAATTTTCAATAAGCTAATAACAAGAAGTTGAAATTCATTTTAAATTTAACCTAATTCCAAATTATCGCCCCCTAAAACCATCCACATCGATCATGTTAGTATATCTCTAGTACGGTGGGAGCGTGGGGCCTTAATCAACGCTATTATTCATTATTAGTGAAAGAGGAAAGGAGGCAAATATAACAGAGTGTATGAGTCTGAATTTTTATCATTTATTTTTAATTAATATCATTTTTAATTAAATAATTATATTAATTAAAAAAATATTATTTAAGAGTAAGAGGTAAAATTACAAACTTGTACCCTTTAATAAATAAGTTTAAAAATTTTCTTTCCGTGAAAATTCAATACAATTAAATATTCTATAAAAATCAAATACCGACAAAACATGTATAATAATGTTTTAAGGATAGAGTTATACTAAACACAACCTTTTTTCCTTTGAAGTGCTATACTGAGGCATGATTTTAGTAGGGAGTGTTTCCTTTTGCCTCTGCCCAAGCCCGTTTTGCCCCGCCTCAAATCCCATTAGTAATTCCTTGTCCCATGCCTCGTGAAGGGCAGATCCCTTAGAAGAAAATGTCATTGTTATTTCCTAGCACTACGGGAGCGTTAATTATTCATGAAAGAAAAGGTCAAAAAATGATAAGTAATTCTCTTTTTAGTATATCATGTGTTTGCTTACAAAATTAAAACGAACACACACAATGTATAAAGTAAAAATGGAATGTTAACCATTACTCTCCTTTATATTGATTTCTGGTTATCTATACTTTGTAAGTTCACATGCTATAAACAAATTTTCATGTAAATGGTCATTTTAATTTAGTAACTTAGTTTAGTAAATACTAAAAAAATGAATTGTTTTCTATTATATAATCTATTTAATTAGTAAATGGTTCCTCGCCCCTAAAACCTCATCCTTACCAAATGAAAGGCGAGTACTTGTTCTTATGTTCGTTGTTGACAAAAATTTCAATAAGTTAATAACAACTAAGTTGAAATTCATTTTAAATTCAACCCAATTCAATATTGTTGCCCCTTAAAACCATCCTCGTTGATAATGTTAGGATATCTCTATTGGGTTGGGAGTGTGGGCTTCAATCCACTCTATTATGTTCTTTGTTGGTGAAAATTCAACATAATTAAATATTCTTATAAAAAAAAAAGTCAAATACCAACAATACATGTATGATAATGTGTAAGGTTAGAGTTAATACTAAACACATTAATAAATCATATATATAATGTTGACGGTTGAATTTCGCCAACAAAAAACCGGTCGGGTTACCTATTGGTTTCCCTTTGGATTACCGGCCGTGTGTATATATTTTGACGTGTCAGGAAATGGTGAATTATTTGTGTGGGAGGATCTATTGAAAACCCCTAAGATATTAATGACACAAGGGAATTTATAGTGGTTCACTCTATAAATTTCAGAGCTACATCCACTGTAATCTTGTATTTCTTTATCTTTGGGTAAGATACAGTTTACAATGTATTTTCTTAGCTTGCGTTTTTTCCTGAATCGCTTCCTCGTTGGGGGTCTTTCACCTTATATACTGAGACTTCCTTCGCTTGGGAGGTTTCCCTCACAGCTAGAAGCACTCAAGTGCTCTCTTTTGGTAGGCCCAGACGTAGCCCACTAATTTGCACTGTTCATCCAATCTGTTTAGTCTTCTATTATGGCTCTGTGCTTCTCCGTAATACTTTCCTGTCCCCTGTGGGGGCAGTCTAACAGTTCGTAATTAATGCTCGCAGACCACCTCCACTTGTGCACGTAACCCGCAATGTCCCCTAAAGGACGTTTCCCTCGTCGCCAGTACTTCTTAGCCCAATCGCCTTCTTTGATGGCAACTTCCTGTGGTCGAGAGATCTTTATCCTATTGCGTCGATGGCGCAATTGGTCGGCGCCACAATGGGTCGTCATCTTTACTTATACTCCGTCCCGGAACCTTCGCGGAGGACTAAGAGGAGCTTGCAAGCGTCGAGGGTCTTTAAGCGTCGAGGGTTGATCAAGGCCACGTGTTGCGGCATACTTCGCCCACGCGTCTGCCATATTTTCCCACACAACAGCTACCCCCCAGGTCGAGGGCACCTTTTGGGTGGCCTCAGACTTAGGTTTGGTTGCCTCTCAGTGCTTTGGGTGTGGAAAACCAGTCCCGAGCCTCCGTTTGTAATGATGGCCTGGGACCGTCAGATATCCTTCGGGGAACGTAACCGTCGCGTCGATCGATTTCTCATGATAACGTACGACCTTTAATTCAAAAGAACGGATATGGGCCCTTGGATCGTGACCTCTCTGCTTCCCGCCCTATTTTATCACCGTTAGATTTGGGCAGGTTTCCCTGGCCATTGGATCTTTAAGATCTTCATCTGACGGTCAGGGTCGAAGACGCCCGTCCCTTTAAATACCTT